GATAGATAGATAGATAGATAGATAGATAGATAGATAGATAGATAGATAGATAGATAGATAGATAGATAGATAGATAGATAGATAGATAGATGGATGATTTCAGGCTCTGTTATTAGGTCTGTTTTTTGTACCTGCAGAGGATTTTTGGTGCTGATGGCTAAGACCTGGTACTTGAAATAACAGAGTTCACAGCTCCAGGAGCCCCTCTCACTGATCCAGCGGATGAGGCAGGACTGATGAGTACAGCGCACTGAGCCATCACAGCGACAAGGGCTCAACAGCTCCCCCTGCAGGGCAAAAAGGGGAAAAGCTGCTGGGTAAAAAAGAAGACTGTAAAAGCCTGTGGGTGATTCTCCAATTGCAGACAAATTTCATGACTTTTTTCAGAAAATTCAATATATATATATATATTTCTACTTAAAAAAACTGATATATGTTGTAATTAAATTATATAAATTCTATATAGATTTCTTTAATATAGTGATGGAAATGATTGTTGGAGAAATCACAGTTTTGAGCATTTCTTTTAAAATCTTAAGAAGCATTAGCATACAAATCTCTGTGTTAAAGTTAACATAAAATATACTGACAATGCACAAAATAAAATGGTATATTTATCATTTATTTGTAGTCTTGAAGGAAATGTGAGTTTTTTGGAAATGATAACAAATAAATCTACTCTTGGTTTTGCAAAGGTTTCTTTGTTTTTGTTTTTTTTTTCTTCTTCCTGTTTTCCTTCCTTGCATTGAGCTACCATTGCTCTTCTGCCATTAGCACTCCTGCTATGTGACAATTGATGTGATTGCAGGTTTACAAAGGTGCAAAATTGTTAAAAATTATTTGGTGGACATGACAGTGATCCCAAGTGACATGTGTTCTTTTTTAGAAAAAACAAAACAAAACCCACCCTCCCAAAAAAAAAAACAAAAAAACAAACAAATAAGCACTTAATATTTTTATTAGAATAAAGAACTGATGCCACCGTCAATCATTTCACGGTGAAGTCTAATCTATTGTTGGTCTAAAGATGGACTGCTCTAGACATAAATTATTTGATAGTTGGAGAATCACCTATGAATTCATAACGAACCCAGTGGACGGTATTACGGACATTTACCAGCTGTGGGCCTTGGTTAGTTGTGAAATGTGTTTATAAATGGAGAAAAAAAAGTTATGAAGAAACTCATCAATAGAAAAATTTAAATAATAAAAACAGTTACAACCTTAAAAACAACAATTGCATGCTTTAAGGTTTAACACATGGGTACTGGTGATGGTGGAGATGTGTCCATTTACCATATGAAACAGACTGCTTAGACGTTTACCTAAAGGTCAGACAAACAAAACACTATTAGAAAAAAAAAAACAGGCTTCATTAAGTCATCTTCTTCCCTCAGACTGCTTCCTCAAGGAACACAATGAACAACTTAAAGCCTGAGGACTCAGCTGTAAAAAAAAAAAGACTGTTTTTTATTTGTTCTTTTCTATTAATAAAAACTAAATGTATATACATATCCACTAACACTCTGTTTTTTTTGTCTCCAGATTTAATATGTTATGTCTGTATGATGTGGGCATTTGAAGCCAAATGTCTGTTTGTGCACACAGTCAATAAAGCTGATTCAGTTCTGATTCCATTCAATCAGGGTTTTTAACATCCAGCTGCCTCATTTTTTTCTTTCAGTCTGTGTTCAGTGACTCTGTTTCACTGGAACATTTGATTTAGTTGGACGGATACAAATCGGCTTGGGAAAGTGAACTACAGTTTCATCCTGCATTTAACACACCTGCGTTATTCTGTGCCATTACTCACAGTAATAAATTATCTTCATGAGTGATGAGCAGGATCCAGTAACTCCAGCATCTATTTTCAGAACCCTTAGATTTTGTGGACTCCACTTCTTTTCTTTGACACTTTCCTTCCCGTCTAGTGCAGCTTCTTTTAACTACTTTGAACAGGATTTGTTTTTTTATACTTTTGACAGCTGCAGACGTTTTGTTGCTCTAATTTTCTGATGCAGATGAAACAGATTATGATTTCCAGAGACATGTGCTTAGTACAAAAAAAAAGAAAAATAATTAAGTTATACAAATATAAACTGTAACTGTCTTAATAAAAGGCAGTGGCATCTTATTTTGGAGCATATTTCTTCATTGTTTTCTGATGCTTTTATAAACTGGGGCTTTTAGTTTAATATCTGTTACACTAAGAAAATCACATAAGGTCTTTTATTAGTAGTTTTATAGGATGGTGAACAATTATAACCAGACAATTTATTTCTTTTTGTGTACAATATCTTAGGGTAACCCTAATCCACTCAGGGTAGGATCTTTGGAGCTGGAAACGAGCTCTAGATTTCCAAACCTGCTGTTTTGTTTTTGCTTTTTGTATAGAATAGAATAGAATAGAATAGAATAGAATAGAATAGAATAGAATTCAACTTTATTGTCATTGCACTGTCACGAGGACAAAGCAACGAAATGTGGTTTGCATCTATCAAGAAGTGCTATACAGGATATTAATATTATTACAGGTGTATGTAAAAGCAAATATATATAGATATATATACTTTTTACTTGCTTTTATTCAGCTTTTTTGTAGTCCAATTGTTTTTTTTTTATGTCTTTGCTTTTATACTGCTTTTACCTTTCTTCTATTTTATTATCTAATTCATGTAAAGCACTTAAATTGTCCATGTACTGAAATTTGCTATACAAATAAGATTGCCTTGCTTTGACAGTGACAAAAACAAAGGTTACAAAAGAAAATGACATAGGCATGAAAAGCTGTCTAAGGAATATGTAGGGTATTGATGATAGGCTGAGTGGGACGAGTATTAATCAGATAAGTAGTGTGTTGCAGCTCTGGAAGAGCTGCAGAGAATTGTAGCTGAGGTGGAAGATATGACCATAAGCCATATGTTGCAAGAGTAATATTACAGTATTACAGTGGAAGTATTATGCTGTAAAGATCCTGTTTTTAGCAGCAACTGAAAACAGCAAGCTGGTCACGGTGGATGGGGAAGATGGGTGTAGCTGAGGGGCATTACTGGAAGAAAACCTGCTGGAGGTCATCAGCTGAGTTACAACTGAATGTTAAAACAAAAAATACAATAATGTATTAGAATGACTCAAACAAAATTAATTTCACAATGACTGAAAACTAGTAATATTTGCACCCTGGGAAACAGATATTCACACATCCGTTAAATAGGTGTCTTTATGAGATGTTTAAGATCCATCTGCAGCTAAATGTCTACGTCTGGATGTATTCAGCCTTAGCTCGTGATGATTTACCCCAGGCCTCTAGGGAAATCAAAAAACCAAAACATCTAGAGTATTAATTGTCTTGCTTTTTTAATCATTCAGCTCCCTGGAGGCTCTGAGTCTGACAGCTCTGTTCGCTGTCTGACTTCAGGGGATGTGAGAGGTCTTTGATTTCTTTCATATCTGGAGGGGAAACAAAAACTTTCTGACGCCTGCAGGTTTCTTTAAGAGTTTAGTTCCGTTTCAGACCAGCACTTTGTAGAATTGGTATTTAAAAGATTTGTATACGTCCACCTGCTGTATTTACACTTATGGCTCCTGTGCATCAAGATGCTACATGAAGATGCCACAACTGTTACTTGTGACGTCTCTCTGTGGTCACTGAAAACAGTTTAAAGATTTGATGGCACAATTACACCTACAAGCAAATAATCCACGACTTATTTACTGATATATACAACCCATCACTCCGTTTAACTCTAATAAGTTCATCCTCTTTGTTTAACAAATGTTTATCTTGTAATATTATTTTCTTAAAATAAATAAATGATATTAACAGATAAGCCAATTCATTTCATTTGCTGATTGGCTTTTTTTCTTTGTTACACAGTACAGCTCAAACAGAAAACTAGCAAGGTTAAAGTCTGATTATCAACTATTAATATTGTTTTCAATGCAAGATAGTATTTAGTTTTCTTGCTCGGTTCTGTTTATATTTTTTACTAATATAGTAGAATAATAATTTTTTTAATTTGGCAGTTCTGGTTTTCTATATATGTGTAGAAATAAGACACCTTTAAGGAGACTTTAGCAGACAAAATTGACCAAAGGTGGGAGGTTTTGATTTCTAAATATTCATTGCTGGAAGTCCAGAGCTCTTGGGTCCCCCCTGCTGGCAGCTTGGGATTCTGATGAATTAGAAAAGCTCTTTCTAAACACACAGCACCTCCTAAATGCATATATATTGTTTGACCTTTGAACTCTTCCGTATTTTTCAGTTGTAGACACAAATTCTACATTATTTGATATGTTGGTGTGTGTGGGTGATGTGAAGGTGGTGAAAGGAAAATGATACATCATTTTCAAAATAATGATCAGATCGTGGAGTAGAGTATGCACTGTTGAGAAAAAAAATACAAAATAGGAATATGGGTGTATTTTAAGGTCATGAACACATTGATATCCTTGAGAAACATATTAGAGGCTGAAAAATCCTATCCTATCCTATCTTTCCTTTTTTTTAGTTTAACAGCTCTGAGCTGCTTTGTGTTGGTCTCTATCATGCTGCAATTTCTCCTCAGTCTATTCTTAACAGATGCCCTTTGTCTACCTGAAACTATTATTAGATCACTCAGTTTTGGTTTTATCTTAGTCGGTGCATAACTTTGCCTTGAAATCGGGGTATACTACAGGGGTCGCTACAGACCAATAACTCAAGATCATGGATAGGTTTAAAGTATTTGTTGGATCTCTATATTATCAAGATCATCGTTTAGACAGTCGTCTGCCAGACATTTAATGTTATGAATTCTGTTTTATTACCGTAACCTATTTATGGCTTTATCTTTAACAAATCTATGAGGCCTTTACAAAACAGCTGGATTTAAACAACAGACAAGTGGACTTTATTTTATTTTAAGGAGTATCAGATTAGAAGGGTAAGAACACACATGAATATGTGTGTGTCAGCTTTTCTTTGTAATAGAATGAAAAAAATGTTTAATATTCCTTAGAAAAGTAAATCCCTTATTGTTAATTAAAAATTTTCCATGTGGAGTACATTTTTTCCTGATTAAGGCAACAACTATCATTTCCCACTTGGCTGTACCAATCCCTGCCATGTTTAAGCATAAAAGTTCACCTTTTCTGGCCCCTGGAAGCAGATCCGACACTGCTGTCCTTGCAGCCCACTCTCAGATAGGCTTGGTAGGGAGGACATATCCAGAACTCCTTCTTGTCCTCCCTGGGATTTGGCTCCTTCTTTGTCCTCAAAGGCCAGGCTACGTGGCCGGGGCGCTGACCCGTAGTACTCCTCTTCATCATCCTGGTGGGAGCAGCTCATCTGGGGCCAACCACAGCCTCCAATGGTACACCCTCTCATCCTGTTTTGCTGTGGGTCTGTACCTGTGACCGGGTCAGCCCTCCCGCTTGATTCTGAGTGCATCAGCAGCAACACTTTGAGTTCATTGAAAACAAGTTGAAGACAATACTTCAACATGTCTCAGCAGCTTCACAGCACAGGCACAGCCTTGTTTTTCCTCCAAAACATCATAACTGTTAATATAACTACTGCTACTATAGAACTGGTCTTCTTAAAGGGTTCACATTTTGATGAATTAAAAAAAATAGCAGCAACACTACAAATCCGGATCTTAAAGGCATGCTCGAAAGATGATAGGCTGTTGGATCAGCCCATGGCTGTTTGCATATCCTGTTGTTATAGCATGTGCACTCCAATCTGACCAATGAGGAGGGCTTGTTGTTTTTCTCTATGAATGGAGGCGTTTTCTATCAGGATTCAATTACAGGGCTTGAAAACAAGAGCCCTGAGCCCATTAAAGTCTAAATAGAAAGGTCCAGAAGGGCTCAATGGACGTTTTAAATGGTAATGAAAATTAGGAGCTGTCCAATGTGTTTCCCTCAAAATATGCTCCCCCTGTATGATAAAAAATCAACATGGGTCTCAAAGGGGGGTCGATTGACTGACTGAAGCCATTTATGTTAGTTTTCTTTAGTCCACAACAGAGGAGGTAGGCAGCATGTTGGAGTCCTTTGTTTCTCCGCGGTGCCATTCATCATTTCCTGGCTGTCTCTGCAGGCTTTGTCCCACACATTGTCCTCCGGAATGAGCTCCACACCATAAAGTTTTATTTTGATTGTTTCAAATTCAATTATATGTGGTTTCGTTTTATTCCAAGCTCTGATTGAGCATCGCATATCAGTTTTGCGTCAACTCTTCCCCCAACCTCCCATGCGCCGTGACCAGAGAATAGTGGTGAGAGGGAGGATTCCTCCACACACAAAATGTGCAGAAATCATGCAGCAGCAGCCGTCCATGCTGGCTTGGTAAAAACAGCCGAGCACCATCCTCAGCACATCATCTCAGGCCCGCAGCAATAAAGTGCCTCTTCAGAGGGAACTCCCTGGAATCCGTATCTGAGTCGGTTCCTCGATCCGGATCCTTAAAGATGTAGACACTGGGATGTTATTCTCCAAACATCAACTTCCTCCTCATCTATGAAGCCCGCGGTGTTTCTCTGAGGCGGCCGTCGCCCTGCCGTCTGTGGGCGGTGCTGGAGCCGCTGTCCAGGGTGCTGATATTCACGTGACGTGTGCGCCACGTGTTCATTTAACCGCTGATCGGATACATTAGCGGAGCAATCCGTACCAAGGGTTAACCCAGCATTGGGACTATCTCATCCCCAAGAGAAAAAAAAATGCAATTCTCATAAAATATACTTAAAAACGCACAAGTTGTACATTTCAAGTCATTTAAATGCATTCTAATATTATGTAAATGTTTTGCAGAGGTGGATAGATCACCCATTTTTTCCCCTAACAGTGTCCTGTCTGGCAATGTGGCAATAATAATAATTATCTTGATGCCAAAAAAGAGCCCAACAGATTTTGCTTTCACAAGTGGAGCAGTAGGGCTATTGCCATGGTGTTCCGCTTGATTTATGCATATAAATTGCTTTATTATAAATCATACAGGGAGTTTTACAGATAATATGGACACTGCAATGTAAGTAGAACAGGAAAGGAAAAACAGAAAAAAGGAGAAAAGATTAAAGAGAGAGGAGATTAAAGGGAGATAACAATAAAACATCTTCAGTCTGCTTCATCACCTGCAAAGAGATGTGAAAAGAACAGCACAACTAATGGATATAGCATAAGAGATACAATAACGTAACACCTTGGTACCATCGCTGAAGTATAAGCAGTACTATTTAATCTGACATGTATACTGTGGTAGGAATAGGAATATAGGCTTTCTGTATGGAAGTGAATCTCTAAGTACCTGGAAATAAGCACCTGGAGTGACACAAGTTAAGGCATTTAAATTCATGATAATACTATGTAAATGTTTTGCAGAGGTGCATAGAACAACCACATTTTTTTAAGAAAAAGTAGCACTACTTCATCATAATTTTAGAGTGAAAAAAATTTCTGGTTAAATAGATATCAAGTACTGAGTAACTGGTCCACATTACCCATGATCATAAAAACAGATTTAATATTCTTAAAGTTATAAAACTTACTAAATGATATGTATGCCTGATGTGTATGATATGTATAGATAGGTTAAAAAGCTGTATACTGTTTACTGTATTTTCTCTCAACTGCCAAAGGACAGGGCAGACTCAGCAGATGGATAACAACATTAATCCAACAAGTCTTCATTGCAAAAAAGAAGAAAGTGTGCCTCAACTGTGCTTATTTGTTTAAAACAAGCTTGTCTAAGTAAAACTACTTGAAACGGATGGAAATGGAAAGTTAATGGAAAGTTGAGGTGGAGGAAAAAGTGTGGTTTTAAAAACTTGCACAAACAGAGATAACCAATCTTGAGAGAATTGTGAAGCAAAGCCCAATTCAAGAGTATAAGGAAAAGGCACTGGACTGTCCTCTGTGGTGAAAACTCCTATTTTCAAATGGAAGCATGCAATTTTTAAAATCTTTGTTCATTTATTTTATTCAACTGAAGTTAATCTGTGTTAAGTTCAATATCTCATTTTCAATGTGTATGTGGGCTGCAATTCTGCAGGACATATCAAAACACACTAAAAGACAGTTAACTGAATACTAAAAAGATTAATGGAATATAGACACTGAAAAAGAAACAATTCTTAAATAAGGAACTATTTCAGAAAATGTCTGCTTTAATTAAACAATTCACGTAATGTTGCTTAATTTTTTAAGAGTTTAAAAAAAATAATTTAAAACAGTGATACATACACACTTTTACAAACTTAAAACCACAGATATTTTACTGACTACTATTGCCAAGTTTGTGTACACAAATGTAAGGATTATTCTTGATGATGTGTGAGTCTGTGGCACACTGGAGTTGTATAAAATGCTTTTCTAACTGTGATTCAATGCCATTTCATGAGATTTGAGCCCGGTGTGTTAGCAGCTGCCTTCTGGAACTCTAAGCAACTTCTCTGATCTGAGTAAGATTATAATTTCTGTAATGATTTACAGTACCTTTAGTTTTTACTTAAGACATAATCGACTATTTCTACTTTTCCATTATTAAGCAGAGGGAGGAGCGTTGTTGATTATTCATGTGGAGAAACAGGATGCACGGTGGTAATTTTTGGACCAAATATGCAATGTGAATTCTTAAAATTTTGTCTGCTTTAAAACCCAGACATTTATAATTAGCAAAAGCACAATTTAATCATCATATTTTCCATTACAGTTATACATTAAATTGAAATTTGTCCTTTATTTATAACACATTTCTAATGGAGCGACGAGCAGCTTTATGGGGTCAGGGGTCTGCTGGATCCAGAGTGCTACCTTCCACAACTCCTCCCCTCGAGCTCTGGTGTGCTTCTCCTTTTTAACGTGTCTCTATTTTCACAGAACTGAATCAAAAGGCTTAATTACCTCCTCAGTATGCAGACAGGTTATTTGGAGTCGTGCTAAGGACATGACTATTTATCTCAGATAGACTCGTCTAAAAGGTGCAGAGAACTGGCCCCCAAGGGCTAGAATTGAGGATGCCTGATCTAGCAGCGATTCCAGGATGCCAACTTTCCAACACTACCCATTTGGTTGTTAATTTTTTTGATTAGAAACAACTAGTTAACCAACAGACCCAGGACCCAGGCTTAGGTTGCAGCTTTGGCTCCTGGCAAATTATCTAATTATCTGGTTAATCACTAGCCAAGTCCAACATTTTTTTCTTACTATGCTTTTTGTATTATCTTTGCACAAAGCAGCAATCAATTGATCACCCAATTTTGTGAGTATAACAAGTTTTTTTTTTTTTTTTGGCTGAACACTACTTACGGATGATGTTGCACAATTTCCAAGTCATTTATCACAAGACTTTGATTCTAGTGCCAGAAGACAACCCTGAGCTTCAAAATCGTTTATCACCAACAGATTTTAAGCCATTGTTTTAATATTTTTAGCCTGTTGTCAAAATGGATTTGGTTCAAATGTGGGTTAATTTAATGAATACGAACATATCTGAAACCTTCTTTAACAAAATGGACACAATCAGTAAAACTGATGGATATGTCTATCACACTGACCCACCAAATGAAAGAGGCAGTCTTTGTATTTAAACTATATTTCCATGAGCCTGTAAGCGGTAGGAGCTTGCAGGTCTAAACTTGGAAATTACAAAGAACCTCATTTTGACAATATTTATAATCTTTGTCTCAACTCTTATCCAGACAAAAAAAGAGGATTGAAAATCTTTTTGTGAATCTGCAATCCACTCGACCAAGCGTAACATGTTTTAGATTTCGTCGAGTCTTATAAACCTAATTCTTACCAATGTTTCTAACATATTTTCAACCGTTTTTACTTAGCAATTTAAGTGACTACTTCATTGAATCTGTTTTAAGAAATACCAAGGTCCAGCGCGAGGCAGTGGTGTAGGGGTTGAGCATGCAGCCTGTGTACAGAGGCTTTGGTCCTTGCCACAGCCATCGCCAGCCAGACTTCCGTTGTATGTCTTCCCCCTGTCTCCAATCCCATTTCCTGTCTGCCTACTTTCATAAATAATAAAATAAAGGGCTATTGTGTCTTAATTTAAATAAATACCAAGGTCCCTAAGTCACAGCCATGAGTCATCTCTAAGAGGAATAACATTTTTTTTCTTTAGAGAACAACAGGAGATTTTCACACACGAAAAATAAAATTGAGAGGAGAACAAAAGAGAGAAAACCACAAAAGAGGCCACAACAGGCCACCATAAAACAGTTTCTCTCTTTTTTTTAATATTTGTAAACAAGCCCCAATAACGGGGTATAGAGAAGAGGTTGTGCTTCTCTGAACTATTGGATATTATTAAAAAAAAATTCTGAATATTATTTGTCTGCCACCTCTAAAAAAATGTTATGCCAGGAAGTTTTGGAAAGTCATGAAGTCACTTTTTGTGTGTGAAACATCTAATTATTATTGGAGATAACGCCATGATTTTAAGCTGTTTTTATGAGCATTTATCACTTTTGACTCCTTGTTTGATTCTACTAACTCTACATCTGGGAAACCTAATTCAGAAGCACCAAAGTACACTGTTGCAATTTTTACTGTTGCACCTTATGCAGTACAAAATGTTCAAAAAGCCCTAAAGAATATAGATTTGTAAACCCTACTTTCTAAAATTGTCATCTGATTGTATTGTGAAGTAACCTTTATCTGCTTTATCAAATGCAGAGTTATTACAGCATAGTTTTTGCTGTATTGCATAGAGCTTTAGGCGTCCTTGGACTTAATGAAGCACTATACAAAAACAGACCATTTACTATTTTACCGCCGACAACCAAACGAAAACCACATCCAGTTACAAACAACCTGGTTTGGTTTAATTTCAGTTCAAATCTATTGAATCGCCACAAAACAACTGCATTCACATCTGATCACTTCTACAGAATTCTGGTTCTTTAATATTGTAAATATGTAGGGGTTTTGGGCACGCCCAGCTCACTGCATTATGTTAATGACTTTGCAGCAATTTCTACATGCTGTGATGAAAAACTCAATTTAAATCAGATGAAACCTTTACAAGGTTTACAATCACCTTGAGAGACTAACTGCTTGAACCAAATGAAGGTTGAAAGGACAGAAGGTAGGAATAGAACCAGTGAACCTGGGGTACTTTTCATAAGATTGAAGAGAAAAAGGCACACAGTTGGCAGCAATAATTTCATCTTAGACTCTATCTGAGAGAGGGATGCAGATTAACAGTATAACTGTGCCAGGAATACTTTCTATGGAAACAGAAAAGAAAGACAACAGAAACTCAATAGTCCTTCTTCAGTGTCCAATAGAAACATCCATCCATCCATTTTCTCCCGCTCAGTCCTTGTCAGGATCACGTTGGGGTCGGTGCCTATCTCCGGCAGTCTACAGGCGAGAGGCAGGGCACACCTGGACAGGTCGCCATTCTGTGGCAGGGCACCTATAGAAACTTGTCAAATAAAGTCTAAAAAGGCTTAAAATATTTATGGACATTCACAAACTTCTGACCGTGACTTCATTAAATGCAGAAAGAACAAAAAACAACAAAAAAACAGAAAAAGAGGAGCCATTCAAAACTGAA